TAAAAAAAAAAAAAAAAAAAGAAAAAAAGGAAATGAAAGATTGAAAATAAAGATCGCAGAAATGATTTAAACAGGATGATGAAATGTATCGTGTAACTCCACGTGTGATTTATACGTATATCGTACATTCGTAATTAAGTAATATTGGTAAAATGATAAATTGATTCGAACGACAGATCGACCGTAAAAATAAGATGCAGCCAATTTCAATTCATCATTGAACTGTTTGGAAATTTTAAATTAGGATTTCATGAAAGATTAGGTGAGAAATTGGAATTTTTTTTTCATCTAATCAACACGATGTTAGAAATCAATTCAGAAATTATTATTATATTATATTAGTTAATGCCATGTTGGAAATTAATCAGATACAGATTAATAATTATTGATACAGTGTTGGAAATTAATTAGGAAATGACTGCTACTACTATTAGCCACAATTTTAGAAATTAATTACTAAATGACTACTACAGCTTGATAAAATGTTGGAAATTAATCAAAAAGAGGTTACTACTAGTAATTAATACATTGATGAAAATTAATTAGCAAGTGATTATCATTACTAGTCTACCTAATTTTGAAAATGAATTAGAAAATTACTATCACTGTTATTCGTCACGATTTTGGAAATTAATCAACAAACGTCTATCAATAGTTATAAAATATTGAAAATTAATTGGGAAGTGAATAATTTTTAACTCTTAAGAGTGATCATTACTTTTTTAAATTCTAATATTTCAAAATAAAAATAATTAATTTATTCTAAACTACAATTTCATGTGTTTTGATCAGTGACCGAATTCACCTATTTAAACTTACGTTAATTCCTGTTATCTAATCAAAAAATTTTATATTTCGAGTAAAATCATAACAAAGAATTTCATAAAATAAACTTATAAAGGAAATTAATTTTAATATATTAATTAACTATGAAAAAAACAAGATTTAATAATTTTAACTATATCATTATGTATAACTATAGTTTGAACCCTAACTTTTTCATTGAAAAAATATAGGTAAACAATTCTATAGTTCCAAACTACAAAGCAACAAAATACCTGTGCCCAGTAAATTGCATTAAAATGAACATTACTTTTCACATAAACTCCAATTACACAGTATAATACATACTAATTGACAAAAGTTAAAAACCAAAATAACAATTTACAATTTATATAAGATATTTAACTCTTTGCACTCGAGAGGCGACCATTTAATCAGATTCTAAAGATCCATTTCAATTAATACATTAAATTTAAAATTACTCAACGATGTGTGAAGTAAATGTCGAAGTAAAATAATTCTACGTCTTAATTCGTGTACGATTTCTTATTAACCGTTTTAAAAATATCGTCGACTTTATGGCAGGAAGTCTTCGAATTACTATCTTTCTGAAAAAATCCGAGTGAAAAGTGTTAAAAAAGAATGTATTGTTTATTAATGTACAAGATGTTACCTTCGTGTCGTATTTTTAATTTTAAAAGAGTACATAAAAATTCTCGAATGATTACTTTATCTTTAACTCTCGTTAGTGAGTGTATTGCAAGAAGGAAAAGGAAAAGAGAAAGAAGAGTATTATGTAATAAAACAGAGTGTTTTGTTCAAAGTCTGCTAATGGACTCGCTGGTAAAACAATATTCTAGAGTAACAGCGAAGCTTCGATAGAAAACAATGTTTACACAAGAGGGATAGTCGAGTGAGGATTTTCGAACAACGTGTTTGTAACGTGCCTCCCTCTGGGGTTGCTTTCAGAGACTTCCTCTGTGCGCGGAAGTTCCTCGCAACGCGTACTATTTATCTCCAATGAAGTTCTATATATACTGTACATTTACAATATAAATATCAAATAAAGCAGAAAAATACACACTAAAATAGAACTGTAATTTCGTTTAAAATAGTAATGAATTATAGCTTGGATTAACAAGAAAAAATAATTTTTAACGTGTTAAAGTGTATTGAACTTAATACCTAATCTAACCTAACCTAACTTTTTGCACTCGACGATTTGTTGTCTAGGGAAGAGTAGAAATAGTAATGAATTATAACTTGGATTAACAAAAAAAAATAATTTTTATCGTGTTAAAGTGTATCGAACCTAATACCTAACCTAACTTAACCTAACTTTTTGCATTCGACGATTTTTTGTCTAGGAAAAGTAGAAATTCAAAGATTGTTATTCCTTTTTCATGAGTAAATAAGAAATTGTACAATAATTAACACGTAGAATTATTTGATTTCGATACCTCACACGTTGTTACGTTACCTGAAATTTGAGATATTAATTAATTCCGATTTTCAAAATTTTATTAAACGGTGACTGAAGATCGCCTCTCGAATACAAAATTGCTACATTAATTATTCTAATGTAAATTTATTAAGAGTCCGATTATTTTTGTGACGTTAAATTTTGACATAATTTAATATCTTTTTATTATGCAAAAAGATATATAAAATAGATAAATAAAAATTTATGTTTCTATTAATTATTAGGTGTTTTACTATATTATAAACCAAGCAATACAATTACAAGTACACTATTATAAGAAAAAATAAAAATTTCTGAAAAATCGGCTGAAATTACCCAAATATTAATGTGAGTCACTATAAATATATCATACTTAAACGAAGAATATAGAACTATTATAAAACTCACTATTCAAATCAAGACAGTAATTTTTTCTCGTTACATTGTTCCCTTGTTCACATTAAGGAAACTCAAATCTGAACAAAATGTACAATGAAATATTATTTATACTTAATTTCGAAGTTTTCTATGACGCACTCTAACGCCATCTTCCTAAGATATCAAATTTCCTAATCGAATATAAATAAATCATATCAATTATACTAGAGAATAAACTACTATAGCTTCCAATAGTTACTCTTTCAAACTAATTGCCTGTATAACCTAACTTCCCGTATAAAGATAAATCTAATCAAAATTGAATTCATTTAAGTACAGTAATATTAGGTTAGGTTAGTACAGTAAGTTAAATACCGATCCAGTGATTGGACAGAAAAATTTTCGAAAATTCGAGAAGCATAGTTAATCGCTATACCTTGACTTATGAAAGACTCGAAATATAGCAATAGTGTAAATATAAAAATAATAAAAATAAGTATAACAATGGCAATAATAACTAAGATGCACTCGAATAACTAAAGTAATAAAAGAAGATGTATATCATCCATATAGAGAACTATACCTTCTGGGTATAAAGATAAATCTAATCAAAACTGAATTCATTTAAGTACAGTAATGTTAGGTTAGGTTAGTACAATAAGTTAAACACCGATTCATTGACTGGACAGAAAAATTTTCGAAAATTCGAGAAGCATAGTTAATCACTGTACTTTGATTTATGAAAGACTCGAAGTATAGCAATAGTATAAATATAAAAATAATAAAAATAAGTATAACAATGGCAATAATAACTAAGATGCACTCGAATAACTAAAG